TGCTCCCTTCTGGTATTACCGTTCAGTGTGATTTAGAAATAAAACTTAGGAGATGCTTTAAAGCTTGGATGATATAGGGCTGTAAAACAGAGTGGCATCTGTCAAGCAGCCTATATTTGCTTTTGTAAACAGTTTCCACATATTTCCCATCAGTCTCACCATCTACAAGAACTCGTAGCACAATATGTCTCTGCTTTTTAATACAATCATATTAGATCAATTAACAATTTTAATTGCCCTAATAATAACCATATAATAGATTTTGTCATTCAGATGAATTCAAAAGCAGTATTTGAAACAATTATTAGTGAAAAATAGGACGCAAAAAGGTGCATGTATTTATCGCCGGTACTGCCAGTTGTTTAGAATCAATATCAATTCCCAACCGGTTCCCCGAAAAAAGGTCATGTTGCACTACTGGAGGAAGAGGAGGCAAGGCGGAGACCAGGCGGAAAGCAGTCACGAAAAGCGTTCGATCATTTGAAGCGTTTTATTACGAATACCGCTCTATGATTTTTACGGCAGATGCTACCTTTTCTCACTCAAAAATATGTGCATTATTTAGTTTTTTGTGTATTTTTGTGCGATTATGTATTTATATATGCCCGTAGGTATAGGAGTGTGCGTTTGTGTACAGATATATGTGTGTAGGTATATATTCATATATACACACACACATACATGTATGTTATATGTATTTAAGTATGCACGTCTGTACGTTCGCAAGCATATTGGTTTGTGTCCGTGTATGTGTATAGGTATTTTTGTTAGTGTCTGTACGTATGTGTGTAATATATGTATGAATGTATGTGTGTGTATGCATGAATGTATGTATGTATGTATGTATGTATGTATGTATGTATGTATGTATGTGTGTATGTATGTATGTATGTATGTATGTATGTATGTATGTATGTATGTATGTATGTATGTGTATGTTGTGTATGTATGTATGTATGTATGTATGTATGTATGTATGTATGTATGTATGTATGTATGTTTGTTATATATCGAATAAAACGAATAGAAAAGAGATACCGTTTCCTTGATAAGTATTGGATTTTGCTGCAAGCAAGAAAGAAAAGGAGGGAGAAGTTTCCTCCATTAATGAGAATATTGAAGGAAATCAGAAAGCAAGGGGAAAGTCTACACAGTATGTT